TCTCCATTTTCCTTCCCCTCTTCCTCTCTTCTTTCTTGACTAAAGTTATTTGTCCATTAAAGATGGCTTCTTCTTCTTCTTGTTGTTGTTGTTGTATTTGCTGGTAGATAGAAATCACCATTTCTAAGAAATGAAAAACAGATCCAAAAGAGCCCTTGCCTTCTTGTTTCTCTTCTTTTAATTTTTCAAATTCCATTTTTAATTCTTCCACAGATAATGCCACTATAAAGTTTCTTCTTCTTCTTCTTTTTTTAAAAAAACAACCTGAATGTTTTTAATCTTAGAGTAGTTTCCAAAAGTCCCAAAGTCATCAAGCAATCCAAACAAACACAAAATATTTCATTTAGCACCTTCTTCTCTTTTCACTTTCTCCTCCTGGGGCAATATCAATTACAAAGTTCCCAAATATATTTTTGAAGTCTTATTGCAGTTAATCTCTAATCTTATAAATTCTCAGCCATCTCCTCCAGCAAGATTAAGATTAATATAAGTTTATTTTTTACCTCTCCCTTCCCACTTATAGCAAAAAACTTTTGATTTTTACCTTCTGTACCAAAGCAGGTTTTTCAATGTCTATTTGCTATTTCCATAATGAAGGAGAGTGAACTTTCCCTTTTAACACTTTCGTTTGCCACTTTCACAATCTCTTTTGGAAATAATATATCATTAAAAAAAAATTAAGTTCCAGGGTATTTAGATATATCTTAGAGTCCTGGTTCAGCCAAAAAACTTTCACTTTCTGACACTTCCTCCTGCACGATCTTGTCCGGCTGAAGGTTTCTTTGTGGCGGCCATTGCTGATCGCCGCTCCACCACCTTAGGAAAAAGGAGTCTAGCTGGCTGGGGAAAGGGGTTGCGATATCCCCAGACCCCTGCCCGGATCTCCTCTGCCTCCGTTACCTCTACGGGGTAATGACAGCCTCCAAACCCGGCTGGATCAGAGGCACTTCAGCAGCGAGCGCAGCAGGAACCGCACACGATCGCGGATTCCTGCCACCGCCCAAGCCTTGCAACTGGAAGTTTTTTCATTTGGAAGGTATTGTTGAGGCGTCAATTATCAAACAGATTTTGTGAGTTTTCTCAATAATTTTGCTAAATAAATGTTTCCTGATATCTTTTGCAATGAAATCTACTATTGCAACTGCATGAATGCAACCCTGTTCCCAAATCTACATCATTTCTTTTTTGTAACTCAGTCAGATCTTCTATTTATGAAAATGGTCTGCAAGTTTGTGCCAAACTATACACTGTAATAAACACCCTACATGTACTACCCAGATATTTCTCACTCATCTTCTCCAGTCCTTTGCTTATGACATCCTGCTCGCATTGCTTTAACTTCTCTGTACAGATGTTGTGAGCCTTAGAAGAGAAATGTTCCTTCAATTTCTTTCTGAGGGAAGCTTGTGGGATTTCTTTACTCCTTCCTGATGGTTAAATATGGTAATTTTTCCACTCCTTAGCTCCGTGGACACTTTGTTCTTTGCTCAAAATTTCAAATCTTCTGCAATGCTTGCAACCTAATTTTTTTATGGGAAACGTCCAGTCCATCATATTTTCCCCTAAAATTATTGTACTGCTGCAGTACAATATTGTACTCCCTTAGTTTGTTAATAGTATTTCCATTTTATAATATAAGTATAATAGAATTACAGAGGTAAGGTAAAGTAAGGATATACTCTTATAGAATAAATTGGTGATGATGAAATGAATATTATAAAGTATATTAAGTAAAAAAGGTGATTTTGTTGCATAAAATGATGTAATATTAGTAATCTAGTAAGTAATTAATAACAGTAATAATATAAATATATATAGTGCATTTATGATATAAGGATTAATGCAAATTGGAAGGGAAAGACTGCAAAGATTGTGCACAAGTGATTTGTACCAACCAACACATTATGTAAGTGAAGATGGTTTATGTTTATGTTTGTTTAAAATAAAACACTTTTATTTAAAAAAAATTCATTTATATATGAATGCAACTTCTTGTTAGATTGATGTTGCTCTATATTGATTTAAGCAGTAACATACAATTTATAACATCAATGTAACAAGAAGTTGCCTGTGTCCCTTTTGGTAAGTTGCTTTTTTATTTATGTATTTATTTATTTTTTTACTGTCTGTTTTTATTTTTATTAATCACAAAAACAAAACAGATATTAAAGAAATAAATAAACACATAAATAAAAATTATTTTACTATTCAGCTTGATGTTTCTGTAAGCAAAGGAGAACCATCAAAATGAATAGTAAAATATTTTTTATTTATGTGTTTATTTATTTATTTAGTATCTGTTTTGTTTTATGATTAATAAAAACAAAAAGAGATAGTAAAAAAGTAAATAAATACATAAATAAAAAGAGCAACTTACCAAAAAGGAGACAGGCAAGTTGGCTAGCCAACAATGCTGGGGTCCTCCTCATCTTCTAGCTTGCTGCAGCAAGGATGGCCAGTGCAGGAGTCAGCTCTCGACCGGGCTGGTGGTGGCGGTGGCAGGAGGAGGTAGGGGACTGGCCCATCAGGACTTGCTGCTTCGACTCCTCACTACCAATCAGTGGTGGGAAGGTAAGGCAGTAACCCTTGGGCTGTGACAGGTGAGGGAAAGTGGCAGGCTGGCACCAGCAGCCTAGCCAAGATGGCGACCACCATGTGGGCAAGGCAGCGGCCCCAACCCAGGGGTTGGCTGGCAGTGGCACCAGCAGCAGGTAGAGGTAGGGGACCAGGCCAGCAGGAGCTGATGCTTTGCCTTCTCACTACCAATTGGTGGTGGGAAGGGAAGGCAGCAACAATGGAGGGCTGCAGGTGAGGGAAGATGGGGGCAAGCAAGGCAGGGAGCATCAGCAAGGGCGGTGGGTATCCTGGGAGTTGGCAATCGCCCAGGACTGGCAGCAGTAGGTAGGCAATCAGGTTGGAGTTTGTACTTATCGGTCCACATCTTCAAAGGCCTTTGGGATAGGCAGTCAGGGCAGGTGAGGACAGTTGGCATCAGTGTCAGCATCCAAGGCTTGTGTCTTCTTTAAGGTAAGGCAGGCAGGCCAGGAGGCAGGCTGGGCAAGGCAGGCCTGGGAGGCAGGCTGGCCAGCCAAGGAGAGTTAGTGGCAGTGGTGACTGGGGCTGCAGCTTGCCCTCACTCATTCAGCAGGGTGGCAGAGGAAGGCAGTGATGGCTGGCTGGCTTGGCTACTGCTGGTGGTGGTGGTGGTGGTGTGAATGATGGCACCGAGCAAGAAAAATTTTGTAGTAGTCCACATGCGCTATAAGTAGGGGTGGGGCGAGGTGGGCAGGGGTGAATGAGGAAGGGATTTTTGCGCGTGCACAGAAAAAAACCTGTTATTTAAAAAGAACTTTTTTTTTACTTTGGAGCAGCAGATAGGGGTGGGGGCCAGGGCAGCGAAGGGAGGGGCAGGCAGGGAAGAATGAGGAAGGGATTTTTGTGCATGCACAGTAATAAAAATCAGTTTTTGGCCCATAGGAGCAGTAAAGAGGGGCGGGGCCAAACAGGGTTTCTTAGAATTAGCGGTTCTTAGAACTACCAATGACGTTAACAACTGGTTCTATAGAACCAGTGTGAACTGGTAGAAACCCACCCCTGTTTCCATCCTTTTGAGGTGGGTAAAATGAGGACCCGGATTGTTGGGGGCAATATGCTGACTCTTTAAAACTGCTTAGAGAGGGCTGTAAAGTACTGTGAAGTAATATATAAGTCTAAGTGCTATTGCTATTGCTATTTCTCCCCTATATAGAGAAGGCCATTTACCAAATAGGATTTTTTTTAAAGAAAGCACCACCTTAAAATCTTCTATAACTTGATTAAGAAAAACAATCACGAAATCATCTGATTAACCAAAGATAGCAGACACCAGTCTGTATTGCATCTCCTGTAGTGTGGACAGATGTACAGTGGTACTACATAACAAGGTTTCCATACCCAAGTAAAAAAAATGAGAGGTACTACCGCCAAAAAATAATCAGTAGAAGAACATGCATTATGTCATAATAAGCATGAGAATCAATTCAAGAATGCATAAGTGACATCAACTATGTCAAACTATTACCATGCATCATTCCAATAACTGGAACAGATCATTTGTTACAGTCATCTACAATTAATCTCTATTGAACAATTTGGTAGCCTTCTGAATAGTTGGAACACACTTTGAAAATACCTAGGCCAGTTGTCAAGAGATTAAATTATTATTGTTATCAGAATTCGCATGAACTGTAGATTTAGAGACAAGATCCCTAAATAGACTATGATATATGCTTATCGCTACTTGATGGATCCTGGGTATAGTCTCAGGTGGAAATTTGCATATTTACTCCTTTAGTAGCCTCTTGTATAATTTCTTTTGTGTGTAAAAATATTCAGCGATTGAAAAACATTAGATGCTCAGGCCAACCTATTCCGATAAATGGTTGTCCAATATTTTAATAAAATCTCCAATGTTGGAGCACCCATCACTTCTAAAGGCAAACTCTTCCACTGGTTAATTGTTCTCACTGTTAGGAAATTTCTACATAGTTCTAGGTTGCTTCTCCCCCTTGATTAGTTTCCACCCATTGCTTCTTGTCACATCCTCAGGTGCTTTGCAGAATAGCTGGACTCTCTCTTCTTTGTGGCAGCCTCTGAGATATTGGAACACTGCTATCATGTCACTCCTAGTCCTTCATTAAACTAACATTTACTATCTTGTTAAGTGTGAGTCTCGGAATGAAAAGCAATTTTAAAATAATTGCAGAATGATACATGGCTACTAGGCATACATATATAATTTAAAATGGATACCCTCTGAAGACCGCAAAAAATAATCTCCTTCTCAGAATCCTCAGTCATTAAACCATTTATCTTTTAAAACAATTTTGGTTATATAGTTATTTGGAATAAGTATCAAGTATCTTAACCCAAAATGGCAATATGGTTACTTTACTATTTATATTCTGAACTTAGAGCAGAGGAAATAATAGGAAAAACTGCAGACTGTAGACAGAACATACCTGGTTAAATCTCTTTGGCCATTTGATGGCATCAACAAAAAGGCTGAATGCATTGTCTTTGGGAGCTCTGTGGTCAAATGTTCCCATTTTGACTCGAAGCAATGTTAAGTTTGGGAATGTGATCCAATTGATAATATCAAATCCTGCTTCCAGGTTCCCATTTTGATCAAAAGAAATCATCTTCCCAACACTATTGTTAAATGAGACTTTTCTGAGATAAGGGTGCAACTAAAATGAAAGTGGGGAAAAAGCAATAAAGCTATGCAAATGTAACATAAACAATATAAGAGAAAGTCAGGATATTTCATAGGATTGAAGTAGTAATGCCTAAGCATACTATCAATTTTCCTAATTAAAAATATAGCTAAGCAGGTGCTTATTATTAGTGCTTACAATGTGTCAATAATTTAAACATGAAGTCAAACCAAATGAGAAGGAGGAGGAGGAAGGAGAAGGAGAGAATATAAAGCATCAAGACACCAAAACTAACTGGAATTAAAAGAATTGAGCAAAGAGGCAAACCGAGATTTTTGTATTATATATTAGTGTTCCTAACTCGCTACTACAACTATAAGAGTAAGAGTTCTCATAAAAATGAGGTCTCTTCCTATTATCCTTCTTGCAGTTACTTAAATAGGAGCATCCTATGCATTTTGACATAGTTCTATATTAGCTGTGTCATTTGGTTCATGTGGAAGGAATTCACTGGAGAAATCAATTATATTTGGAAGAGTTAGGGGTAAAAAGAAACCCAGCCACCAAAGAACATGATGGCCAGACTCCCTCAAAGCTGACTTCATCAAGAGCATAGAAAATCTAAAAAAGTAGATCAGAAGATGTTGAAAGCCTGTCCCATAGAATCATTGAATCATTGTCATCATCGTCATCATCATCATCATCATCATCATCATCATCATCATATTCTTCAAATAGATAATAATGTTAATATCATAAAGTGAAGAATTCCATGTATGTAGACAAGCATTCACGAGGATAGGAATTTAACTATTGACAATTTCCTTGTATTTGTGATTTCAAGACATTACCTGCCAAAGTAATGAATTCAGAACATTCTTCTGTCCTTCCTCTGATATAGTTCTGTGTTTGAGCATTGATGAGCTCATGGATTTTAATGCATGGGCCACAGCATAAATTGCATTGTAGATGCTATAGCTATGAGGAGTTATGCTCATGTCAAAGACAGACCTAGGAAGGGTCCCCAGCTTCTCCTCCCCACTGCAGAGATTCCAAACATTTTCCTCTTCCAAGGAAATTGGGAAGGAACAATCAAATGCCTGTCTCCAAAAGTCCTTAATAAACCCATCTCTGGTTTCCACATTAGGATTTCTCATCTGAAGAAAATGTTGAAAACCTACCACCTCCTTTGACTGGATTGCAAAGGCTAAGGAACCATGAAGGATATCTATATCCCAGGATTGTTGAAAAGGAACAGAAGTGAATTCTATCTGTGCCATCATGATCCATACTTTCCCTGTCTTCATTTCTTTGTCTTCAACTTCCAAAATTCTGGGAAACATTCTCAGAAATATTGTAGTGTGAATTTCACCATGTAAAACCACAACACTGGCAAAGCTATCACTTATGTAGACATACAGTTTGACCCATGATTCCATCATTTCATGAATGCCACTTTTGAAATACACAGTTGGGAATGGTTCTATAAAATCAAAGCAGATACCACTTTGAGAAAACGTGGGAAGTTCTTTCTGTATAAACCTGAGGCCATTGTCATCCTGTATAAAAATGACACCAATCCAGGTCCATCTGAAAAGCAAAAGCAGTTGAAGCATCCCCTTATATTGTTGGTTTCTATTAGGGAGCATCCATTGAAAGAAGGCTTGTTGGGATGGGTCATTAATCATAGGAGATGATCCATAGCCAAGCTATAAAAAACAGGGGGGAGAGCAAGATTAAGTAGGTAAGATTTGTGTAGGCAAATTTATATTGTCTGGAGATTGGATATCCATCTCATATTTTAGGAAAGAGTGGAAGAATATGAAAAGTGATGGGAATAATTCCTGTTAAAGATAGAATTTAACTTTTCTGTATCTTCAACTTTTCATTTGTTATTTACTTCTTGTTGCATATTCTACAATAAAAATAATTCTCCACCAAAATAATTGCCTAAGAATGGGAAAACAATGGGATTTGATCAAATTAGGACTGTAACAGTAGACAGTAATCTTTTCAATCTGGACATGGATAGGTACCTTTTAAATATGTAGAGTACATCAATCAAGACTGTTAAAATGATTTGGAAAGTGGTATTATCATCAACCCAAAAATTATTTCTAAATTCTTAAGATAGAATTGGAATATGTTTCTCATACCCTTTGTGGTAGAAGTACCATAAACGTTAAAAAAAATCCCAAATTTTTGAATTATCAAAATTGAAAATCAAATGATTTTATCTGCAGCACATGAAGTACATACAAAATATTGCTATGATTGCCTTTTTCAATCCAACAGAGGTTTGTGAAATAGAATTATAAGTATTTTATACTATGCTAAATTGGATGTATGAATGGGGCAAATATATGTGTCCCACAATAATGTTGCAAGACCCAATCTGGGTCGATCATCAGAACCAGGATCATCAGGCTTCTGAGCTTCTTGACCAGAGGTGATATTCAGCAGGTTCTCACCATTCTGGAGAATTGGTAGCGGAAATTTTGAGTAGTTCAGAGAATCGGCAAATACTCTGACTGGCCCCACCCACATCTATTCTCTACCTCCCGAGTCCCAGCTGAGTCTTCTTTAGTTGATCTGCATAGAAGAATGGAGCTGGAAAGCAGGCTTGTGGGTTGGGGTGGGAATGGAGATTTTACAGTATCCTTCCCCTGCCACACCCACAAACCATGCCCACAAAGCCACACCATGCCCACAAAGCCACGCTCACAGAACTGGTAGTAAATTATTTCTGAATCCCACCACTATTCTGGACTCAATCTGGAGGCAGGGAAATTCTCTATAGCAGAATGTGTATACATCCTTGAAGATGGGTTCCAGCACAAGTCTAAAAGTCAGGAGACTAATCTGCTGGTCCTGATGACTGACTCAGTTTGGATCTATGCCCCCTTCCTCAAAACTCCATGATGGATGCTGTGAAATGCTAATTCAAAATTTTAAAAGATTCTGCATCAAGATTCATGTTTAATACAGAGAATAACCATCCCCTTAGGATGATGCCACCTTCTTTGTCCCAAATTAATAAAAATGTTCTGGGTGTCTACCTTACCTGAGGTAACTTGTAGATGCTCAGAATGCTTGCCATGAAAAGACATGCTTTGGAGTCAGGCCCCCCAATCACAGCTATAGTAGTACTTTGAGCATCGCATTTATAGTTTGGAATGAATCTGCCCCAGGTGGAGAGGAGCTCCAGTGAAGCAAGATAAGTTAAGCTTCCAGTGAAGTAGGTATTATAAATGTTGAAACCCAGAGAGATGTTGCGTAGCATCTGAGTATCATCATTGATCTCCTTCACAGCAAAGACAAGAGCCAAGATGTGCTGGTAGGTCTGAGTCAAAAATCTGTAATGAGATTTATTTGCACAGTTGAATTCTCTCTATTTAAGCAGTTTAAGTATTGCTAAATTCCCATTTCCTTTAATATATTGATATTGTATTTTGTAATATTATAGAATCATAAGATATCTGGACAACTTCATGATGAAACTCAGACACAAAGATGGGTTCCACCAAAAGTCACTGAAAAGATGGGTTCCACCCAAATTCACTTTGTTTTGGCAGATCACCCCTGGACTTTCTAAAACAGAGGTCACCAATCTTTTAGCCCTCAGAAACCACTAAATTCATAATTTTAAATCCCACAGACCACTAATATGGTCTGCCTAATGACTGGCTGGGTGGGTGTAGCTAGGTGGTCATGTGACAGCATGTATGTGGCCAACTGAATGTCACTCACTTTGAGTGTGAGTGGCATCTCTTCAGCCTCTATTCACCCTTCCCCTCCCAGTCACTCCTCATCTACCCACCCGGGCTACTTAGGGTCCCAACAGGAAGCAGTTGGAGCAGACACCATAAGAAAGAGTTTGCAAAACATCTGGCTCAGTTCAAATTGGATCTGACTGAGAAGGAGGCTCAGCAGAAGCACTTCACTGAGGATTACGAGCATAGGCTTTCCAATTAGAGGGAAGACCTGCGGGAATGCAAAGCCAGGTATCAGTGCCTGGGTGGCTCTGTGGGCGAGATGGTCAGCCAGTTCCAGGCCATGATGCAGTCCCACTGGAATGAGGCCTTCCAGCTCTTTGCCAGCAGTGGCACATCTCTCTTGCCTTCGCCCAAAGCCATGCACCCGGAGGCTGAAGCAGACCCCAAGTTCAAATTTCTGCCCTCCTCCTACCAGCACAAAAAGACCTCGAAGGGGAAGACCCTCAACTTCATTGCATGTACCTGGCCGAGGGGATATAGTTTGAGGACCCCGGATTTAGTGCAATATAAAAAATGCAAATAATTTTTCAGAGGACCACCAAAATTTTCTCTCTTTTTTTTTCAAAAAGTTTTTAATTTTTTAATTTTTACAAATCTCTTTATGTGGGCAACGTGGTTCCAGATTATAACACTTGTACATAATCATACTTTCATTTCCACCATGTTATTTCCAAAAATGCATGTCACTGTTAACTTTCATTTTTAACAAGAGTACATCTGTGAGAGAAAATAAGGTATGAATGGAAGGAGTTTGACCAACCACATACCTTAGCAGAAAACAGGGTTTAGCCATGGACTGTATGCCCTACTCCTAGAGATAGGATTTCCATTAGTTGAACATCCTCATTTTGAAATTTGAGTTTCCCATTATTCCAGCCATCTTTCAAGAATGCAGCTTGGTTGAAAATTCATTTTCTGTCACACCCTACATTCAAATCCCATCCTGATATTGTTAGTTTTACTGATTTATATATTTTAATAGCTTTTAGTTGTCTTTCAATTCATAGTCCTTGATGAAAGATGGAAGGTTTTTAAAATGGAAACCTTATGATTTATGGTTTAGCTTTGTTATTTGTATGTGTACTAAGAACTTCTGCACCAGGGACAAATTCCTTGTGTGTCCAACCACACTTGGCCAATCAAGACTATAGAAATAAAGAATATCCCAAATAAGTTAGTATCAATCTTCCCTGGGTGTTCAGGAAAATGGAAAGGAACAATTCTCTTAAAATTTATTGAAAGTTCTAGAAGAAGTACAATGAGAATAAAGTAATATGTTGCAAAGAAGTGGGGAGGGTAGAATGAGCCACAGTAATGTCCAACCATATAAAATTTAACTGATCATCTTTCTTGGGAACATAACGTAAAGTGGAGTCTCTTTCACTGGATGAATATTATAGCTCATTGAAACTTAAAGGATAGTAAGTCCCTTAGTTTGATTGAAAAGTAATGGGTGCAAATCTTATGAGACACTTATCACCTGAACTGCTTGATTAAGGTATCAATTGCTTACATGAGATCTTCAAGGACTTCAAAAGAGGGATGCCTTTGAAAGTTGAGAGGATTGGAAAACATGAAGCTTTGTGAACTAATGGCAGCTATGATAACATCCCCTGACTGGTAATACTTATGGTTGATATTCCGTGGATCACTGTTCATGCATTTAGCAACTGGAACATCACATGATGTCCAAGGAAGCAGTATGAGAATCCAGAGAATAAAGTTCATGATCTTGCATTTACATCTTCTTAACATCAAGTCATCTGTGTTTTTTTCAGTCATTCAAGCATTGGCATCCTTGCATGGCTAGCAATATCAGCTTGATTAATAACTGCAGAGCTCCCAATTGCTTTAAAATCCTTGTGCCAATGTTCCAGCATAGATTAAGAAGAATCACCAATCTTGATTTTGTTTTGTTAGTTGCTACCAAAAAATCCCTTGTCAACTGGAGGAGTTTTTCAAGTTATCAGCATCAATTAGATAATTATAGGGAATTTAAATATCTGCTTAATATTAGACTTTCTTTCATGTAGTAGAAGAAAACAATTTTCCAACCTATCATTTCAACAAAACTCTTCTCCTAAGAAATTTCAGAAGAATGCAACTTTCAAAAATGAGATATAAGAATATTTAGCAGGAGTATTTCCATGCGGGGTCGAAACAGGCAACAGGAAAAAAAAACAATGCAGCAAGGAAGGTCAAACCCTTTGGGACTTGTTTTGAGATATCACCTTTGCTATTGATATATTTATTTCAGCTGAGTTTGTGGGGTTTCAATTCAGACTTGGGTCACTAAGCTTCAGTTCAAAATTTTCTATTTTCTATTTCTGCTGGCATATGATAATTCACTGATTTTTTTACATGAATTCATCCACCCTTATACCCAAAATATCAATCAATGAAGGTTGCAAACTTTAGTAATTTAGGTATGAGAACAGTCATTTAGATAACATTGGGTCCACGTGACAGGCCTTTTCCTATTGACCTTTCTTTCAACACTTTGAATGGGACACTTGAAACGTTACAAGCCCATGCTGAATAGTGGTAATAATAATACTGTTGTGGTCTTAGGTATCCTAAGGTCCCCCCCAATCCTCGCACCCCAACCCTGGGGGTCAGGCTCAGAGAAAGCCAGAGCGCCCTTGCACAAGATGCTTGTCCATCAGTCAGTTCCCCGCCCCCCATGTCTCTCTCTCTGTGTGTATGTGTGCATTTCTTTCATGCTCTCTGTCTGTGTCCCTTCTCTCTCTCTTGTAAATCAGCAAGTTCTCTTTGGGGCTCTCAGCTATTCCTTTTATTTTTTTCTTTCTGGAAATCTGGGCTTGCTGAGGAACAATTGCCAGCCACAGCAGAGGCTTCCTTTTGGGTGGCCCTCCTCCTCCCCCTCCCTCTCCTCTCATGACCATGGAGTCTGTGCACTCATGGGAAGGCCC